GCACTTCCGAAATTCAGTTCTTTGGGAATTCTGGACTTTGGCAATTTCCTAACCCTACCCCTACTCCTAACCCTAGGGTAGGGTTAGTGCTAGGGTTAGGGGTAGGGTTAGGGTTAGATTCCTGTCATCATTCCCTTAATTTTCACTCCCTCTCTTGTTCAGAAACTTTTCAGAAATCCGAAGCACTTTGGCACTTTCGAAATTCGGCACTTTGGCACTTCCGAAATTCGGTACTTCGGCAATTCGGTTCGGGACTTCTGAAATATAACCGTTTTGTGAACTTCACATGGTGATCAGTTGGTTGCCTTTGATTCTGAAACTAACCAGAACACACCGTTTCAATAAAGGCAATGATATTGTAGAGGAAAGTCCATTTGGGCCATAAGAAAGGGGAGTATTTAAGGAGGCAACTGAGGTTAGAGGAACAGATTTATTCAAGATCAAAATGGGAGTACCACTAGCGGCCATTTAAAGGGACATACCATTGGCCTGCAAAATATAGTTATAACCGTTTAGTAGATATACCCCAAATGAAAATACATGCATTTAATTATCATTTCTACATTTTGAGTACATCTGAAAACACCTCTGCAGATTTCTTGTCTGCAGCTTTTGCAAGTCCTCCCTTTATCCCCAGCAGAAACTTTCTGTGACTGTCCAATCACAGACTTTCAAGTGCAGCTTAATGAGTTTACTTATCTACAAAGAGTAGAAATTTGTAACAAATATCCATAAAAGCAAAAAACAAACAATGTCAAAGCGCTTGAGAATATATGCAGTGTAGCTGCACTACCGCAAAGTGACACTACGTGACACAAAATGACAAAAGATACCAGAAACGGAGCATGCTAACAACTGCAGTGGACACAATATCTTCTATATATTATCTGTAAACAATATTAACAATATATAGTGCAGACTATCTGGTAACACAAAGAAGAGAATATAGGAGTGTGACAGGGAGTAAACTCACATGTATCAGAGCCCTATCATCCCTGGCTCTGGGTTTGAATTGCTCCACTTGAGAGGGATATTACCCACAGCTTACATCAAGACTGATGACTCTCTTCCATCAGGTATCATACCAGGAGCTTCTATGCAGTGTAAGAGGATAGAGAGGCAAGGACCCCAAATTGAATAGTATCTTTACAAAATCTAATAATATCAAAAGGTTAAAAACTCTTACTTGAAGTAGTGGGTTTGCCAGGAATAAACCCACAACTCGGTAAGCAGATAAAAAATATACACAAATGATAGCAGGTACTTCCGGGTTTCGGCAGTGTTCCGATCACGTGACCGCTTGGGACCGCCTCTCGATGACGTCACAGATAGTCTGCACTATATATTGTTAATATTTTTTACAGATTATATATAGAAGATATTGTGTCCTATACAATTGTTAGCGCGCCCTGTTTCTGGTATCAAACATCCATAAAAGGTCTATATATCTGGTAAAAAGGTGGGGTATTCTGCACACCTTGTAAGATATTTAATCATTTATGACTGTAATAGTGCTTGGTTGGTGTATTTGAAGCACACTGGATCCTTTCTCAGTTTGAGTTATAGGAAATATTTTCACATCCCGATGGTGAAATGCAAATCTCTTAATCATCAATGATTGTCACTATTTCTCTGGCACATTGAACATATATTCCAGGTGCTTTTTCTGTGGGTCTTCCATGCAAATCATTGAAATACCAGATCAATGGAGATACTTAAAGGTACACTATAGTCACCAAAACAACTTGAGCTTAATGACACATTTTTGGTGTATAGCTCATGCCCCAGCAGTCTAACTGCTCTTCTCTGCCATTTACAAGTCACATCACTTTGTTTATGCAGCCCTAATTACACCTCCCTGCATGTGACTTATACAGCTTTCCTAAACACTTCCTGTAAAAAGTAATCTAATGTTTACACTTCCTTTAATGCAAATTCTGTTTAATTTAGAATGTCTTATCTTTTGTTCTGTTAATAGCTAACTAGACCCTGCATGATCCTTCTTTGTGTGATTAGAGCTCAAATTACAGAGCAAGGAGATAAAACATTTTAAAGTCAGTTACATCTGGTTTAAAATAAAACCATTTTTATTTCATTCAGGCTGCGTCAGTCACAGCCAAGTGAGGTGTGGCTAGGGTTGCATAACTAGAAAAAAAAAAAAAAAGTGATTTAACTAAATGGCAGATAAATGAGCAGTGAGACTGCATGGGGCATTGCCTGTACACAAAAACTGTGTCATTAAGTCAAAGTTGTCCTGCTGACTATAGTGTACCTTTAATTACACCTTATAATAAAAGGTGTGAAGTAGCACAAAGGATTTCCACCACCTCATGTCACTGCTGTCTTGCTTGGCCAAGTTAATTAAGGTTGCTTTGTTATGCTATCATAACCTGCAGTATCAGTCATGACTTACCAAAGGGAACTGAGTAACATAGGTCTGTACTACTAGAGACACACATGTGACTTGTAAGGTCATCCTGTGGTTTGCAAGCTTTTTTGAGAAGGACCTACTTTAATTCTAGTAACTATTCATTTTAATTTACTACATTCTTGCACCATGCTGAATGGAATGGCACTGGAGCCAAATAGAAAGAAAAGTATAATGTAAATAAGAAAATACACATTTTCAGCATGCATTTATTTATCATTATAAGTATAATATTCTCAATTCACATTTACATTTTCATTATTTTTTTAATTGTGAGTGTTATGGTGATTGTTATTCAACATATATGTGTTTTTCTATTGAATTTGGGGCATTGGTGGATTCTGTTAATATGAGTGTTTTGACAAGGTCAGATAAGTCATTTGTATTAGAATGAGGAACATAGGTAGAGAACAAATTGCATCTGAAGAATCAGACACTAGAGGGCAGCATAAGCAACTGAATTGGCAAAATTAACCTCTCTCCAATTCATCTTATTATAATACTAGGCTCTATAAAACACTTGATATAAAAACAGTGATTTTGAAATAAAGTGTACGCCTGGATGAAGTGCTGAAACAGCAGTAAAAAGAACATAATACTATAAAGATGAACTGAGTGAACTGTATCAGGAATTAGGAATTTTTTAAAAGGAAAATAGAATCATGGGCTGAGAATGTGCAGCAATCTTATATGTTTCTGTATCCTATCCACTTAAATCACAGGGTAATCTTATTTATATTCTGTACTTTTTTCAACTTAAAGTTTATTACGTTTTTAAAGTACTATTAAAGGGGCGCTATAGTCACCAAAACAACTTTATCTTAATGAAGCATTTTGTGTATAGATCATGCCCCTGCAGTCTCACTGATTAATTCTCTGCCATTTCAGAGATAAATTACTTTGCTTCTGTAGAGAGGTTGAATGTTTAAACTTCCTTTAATGCACAGTCTGTTTCATTTAGAATTTCATATCCCCTGCACTGTTAATACCTTGCTAGGCCACGCAGGACCCCCCTGTATGTGATTAAAGTTCAATTTACAGAGCAGGGGATAAAAACTTGTAACATAGGTCAACATCTGATTAAAAATTAAACAATTTTTTCATGCAGGCTATCAGTGACAGCCAGGGGAGGTGTGGCTGTGTGGCAAAGGCTGCATAAACAGAAACAAAAGTGATTTGACTCCTACAAGGCAGAGAATTAAGCAGTGAGACTGCAGAGGCATGATCTATACACCCAAACTGCTTAGTTAAGCTAAATATGTTTTGGTTACAGTGGGACCCCTTTATTATCTCCTGGGGTAAAGAAATGAAAAAAAATGGAGGGTCTACAGAGAAACCCCATAAACAATACCAGATCTGAAGCAAACCTGCAGTGAGATACAGTACGGCATTATTCAGTAACTAATAGTGTCACAGTGTACTCACAATTGCATGTTTTGTGTTATCCAGCTCATAGATGCAATATTGTGCACATCCTAGAATGAAAACAATAAACAGTAACACATTTAAATTAACAAGGAGGGGGAGGGGGCGAACATGGTGCCTACTTGTATACCAGATTTTAAATTAAGTATCATCTGCTTCATGGTGGTAGAAGGAGTAATGTATGTACCCCACAATGACTAATGTTGTTCTCTAAGTATCTGGTTTCAATCATACAGGTGATACTTGAAAAATTAGAATTTCGTGCAAGTTAATTTATTTCAGTAATGCAACGTAAAAGGGAAAACTAATATATGAGATAGACCCATTACATGCAAAGCAAGATAGTTCAAGCTGTGATTTGTCATAAATGCGATGATTATGGCTTACAGCTCATGAAAACCCCAAATCCACAATTCAGTAAATTAGAATATTACATGCAATCAATAAAACAAGGAGTGTACATAGAACAATATGATTGCATGTAATATTCTAATTCCTCTGAAAAGTATAGGTCCTCTTAAAAATATAAGCATGTATATGGACTCAGTACTTGGTTTGGGCCCCTTTTGCAGCAATTACTTCCTCAATGCGGCGTGGCATGGAAGCTATCAGCCTGTGTCACTCCTGAGGTGTTATGGAAGACCAGGATGATTCAATAGCGGCCTTCAACTCTTCTGCATTGTTTGGTCTCATGTCTCTCATCTTTCTCTTGGCAATGCCCCATAGATTCTCTATGGGGTTCAGGTCAGTCGAGTTTGCTGGCCAATCAAGCACAGTAATCCCACGGTCATTGAACTAGGCTTTGGTGCTTTTGGCAGTGTGGGCAGGTGCCAAGTCTTGCTGGAAATGAAGTCAGCATCCCCATAAAGATCGTCTGCAGAAGGAAGCATGAAGTGCTCCAAAATCTCCTTGTAGATGGCTGCGTTGACCCTGGACTTAATGAAGCACAGTGGACCAATACCAGCATATGTAATGGCTCCCCAAATCAACACAGGTTGTGGAAACTTCACACTGGACTTCAAGCATCTTGCAGTGTGTGCCTCTCCATTCTTCCTCCAGACTCTCGGTCCTTGGTTTCCAAATGAGATGCAAAAGTTGCTCTCATCATAAAAGAGGAATTTGGAACACTGAGCAACAGACCAGGTCTGTTTTTCTTTAGCCCAGGTAAGACGTTTCTGACGCTGTTTGTTGTTCAGGAGCGGCTTGACAAGAGGAATACGACATCTGAAGCCCATGTCCAGGATCCGTCTGTGTGTGGTGGCTCTTGATGCACTGACTCCAGCCTCAGTCCACTCCTTGTGAAAGTCCCCAACACTTTTGAATGGCCTTTTCCTGACAATCCTCTCCAGGCTGCGGTCATCCCTGCTGCTTGTGCACCTTTTTCTTCCACATTTTTCCCTTCCACATAAACTTTCTATTAATGTGCTTTGATACAGCACTTTGGGAACATCCAACTTCCTTCGCAATTACCTTTTGAGGCTTTCCCTCCTTATGGAGGGTGTCAGTGATGGTTTTCTGCACAACTGTCAGGTCAGCAGTCTTCCCCATGATTGTGATTCCTACTGAACCAGACTGAGAGACCATTTAAAGGCTCAGAAACCCTTTGCAGGTGTTATGGCTTACTTAGCTGATTAGAGTGGGACACTGTGAGCCTAGAATATTGCACCTTTTCACAATATTCTAATTTACTGAGATTGTGGATTTGGGGTTTTCATGAGCTGTAAGCCATAATCATCGCACTTATGACAAATCACGGCTTGAACTATCTTGCTTTGCATGTAATGCATCTATCTCATATATTAGTTTCCCCTTTTACGTTGCATTACTGAAATAAATGAACTTTTGCACGATATTCTAATTTTTCGAGTATCACCTGTATGTATCGGATTGATCACAATATATGTCCATTTCTGACAGCGACTCCCTACCTCTCCCAGTCACGTGTGGTGTTCCCCAAGGTTTAATTCTCGACCCCCTACTATTCATATTATTTATAAATTATCTGCCTAATGTCTGCAAATCCTCAAATGTACACATGTACGCAGACGACCCAGTAATCTATGCGGGCAAATCCAATCTACCGCAGCTTGAGGCTGTGCTCCAAGACCAGTGCACAGAGGTAGATAAGTGGATCACAAAAAAATAAACTCTTCCTAAACACTGACAAAACTGTCACAATGATCTTTGGAACAGTACCCAAAATACACAATTTACACAATTTCCACCTATCCATCAAAACAAAATCAAATAGCACACTGACCGCAGTCCACTCTTTCAAATACCTAGGTATGTTGTCAGACCCCAATCTATCTTTTGGCCTCCACATAGAAAAACTTGCATCTAAACTTTATCCAAAACTAGATGCCCTGTACAGAAACAAATCCTGCCTAAGCTCTACAGTAAAGGAAAAGATTATACAGCAAATGCTGATGCCAATAATTGATTATGGGGATGTAGTATATGCACCTGCACCGCAAACCCACTTTAATAAACATAATACATTGTATAAGTCATTCTGCCGATTTGTGCTACAATGTAATTACAGGACCCACCATTGTGACATGCTAAAAGAACTAAACTGGCTGTCGCTGGAATCCAGACGCACCCTTCATCTTTCCAGCCTTGTTTTTAAGAGCTTTTCTGGAAAGCTCCCACCCTACCTGAGCAGAATGCTCTCTCCCCGGCTGTTCTCATCTCCTATAACCTCTGATCTAGTACCAGCACTTTATTTAGGCTACCTCAATACAAAAAGAAAGTGTCTCGATCCTCCTTTTCCTACAGAGCACCGCAATTATGGAACGACCTCCCGCATACTTTCAAATCTTCCCCAGGCCTAAAATCCTTTAAGAGATCCCTCTCTACATACCTTAAAACAGAATACACGTGTCATGGTTGACTATATATTTCCTACCTGTTCTATGTTAAATATTGTATATATTGTGTATTAATATTGTTTTTGTATTTTATTGTACCCTATTGTATCAATGTAATGTTTTGTGGCCCCAGGACATACTTGAAAACGAGAGAAATCTCAATGTATCCTACCTGGTAAAATATTTTATAAATAAATAAATAAAACCCTTATCTTCTTCATTATATCTAATAGCACCGGGATTGTACTGGACTCCCAAGCTATTGCCAAACACAGCTGCCCCGCTAATGAAATGAACATCAGAAGAGAGGTTTCTGGGTACCGTTAACAATAGGTAGTAATCTGGAAGCTGAGGTAAGTCAGGACCGCAAACCTTTTGTATCAGGATTTGTGCTTGTATTTTCTATACTTTTTATATTGTGTAGGCTGTAAAATATTATATTATTATTATTATTATTCATAAAGTGCAATCATTATCTGTGTTGATATACAATAAATGGATGAAACCTAAAAGTAAATTTAACATCAGAAATTAGAGGAACAATAAGTAGAAGGTCATCTTCCTCCCTAATGTGTCTTTACCCCTCCCTCTGTGCCATCACCTCCATTGGCAATATTGTATATAATTTTTTTTTACATAATATGTAAATAAGGGAGCGTTGGCAAGGTTGCATATCCATCGTTCGAGAGAATTACTATCTTGTGTAGTATTTCATGTCTCCCACTGCAGATATAATTTTTTTTCATTGCAATATTGTTTGTGATTAATCCTTACATTATTCAAGAACAGAAAAATGTTTACTGTATGTGACTTGTTCCTACATTTATAGTAAAAAAAAGAAAATTGGAACTTAATCCCCATATTTGTTTGCTGAAATAGGTAATTGTAAGGAGCTTTGTAAAATTGAAAACTGCATTTTTTTGTGTACACTGTTCCTTAATGTGTATTTTGTTCTTACATTAATTGACAACAAGGGGCCCATGGTAGTATCGTATGCAAATAATCTTTAAACCGTTTACAAATAGGATGACCTGCACAATAAAATAAGTGAAATCGTCACAACATCTTTCTAGTACAGCAAAACACATTGACAAAAAACTATGTTTCAAAAGCATTTAGTCATTATTTTGAGAACAACGGATCCTCAATATTAATCATCAATGCCCTATAAATTCAGTCTATTTCAGAAACTCAGTTTTTTCACTTGATAATGCCTCTGTTGTCATCAATCATTATCATAAACACTGCCCTTTGCACCTGCCAGTGCGAATGCACATAATAGGGGAAATGAAACAATGGTTTTATTTCTTGTTTTCATTCGTAAAATTTGACCTGGCATGGATTTGGCTGAGCTGGCTTATGATGTCACTTTCTCCATCTTTAATATGAATTTAATAGGAAAAAGAGCGTCTCATGAAAAAATGGTAACACAAGTTAGATGTTCAGTGTTTTACTCAGTCATGAAAATTCCAGAGAAGTGACAATTCCCTTTAAAAAAAAAAAAATGTCTGTCGCCGAATGATACTTCTGTACTAAGCGTAGTGACTACAGGCTTGCAATGGCCACGTTTAAAATGAAATGAGGAACTTTGAAACACTGAAATGAGAAACTGTGTAACTGTACATAGTTTTGTGGAATTTTGATGAAGTTGTCATTTCAATCCCTTTCTGCCCCATGTATGTGAAACCACTAAAGCAGTCGGAGGTAGATTATTCGCTAAAGTGGCTTTTCCTACAGTTTTACTGCCTAGCAAAGCCAGCATCCACCTACACCGGAATATCTGCCTTGAGCAGTACCCAAGAGTCTCCTTCCTGTTCCCATTTTTGCCTTAAGTTGAGCCAGCCACCTTAGTACATATCCACATTATAAAACACGTCCTGCGAGTGGGCCTACAAGCTACTAGGTGTATGGATAGTAAAAAGTATGGATGTTAAAACCTGCTACACTAACAAGCTTTTGTTTTTTTTCTGTCTTTTTTTATAGCACCCGTCTGCAGACTGACAGATTTAAACAGATTGTGGTGAGTCTGGGCAGATCTGAAATGTGTGGTTTGCAAACTCCGTGAAGTGCATTATGTAATTTCCTATTTATTTCACATAATTCTCTTAGAAATGTTATCTTTTGCCCTGAAGCAATACAGTTTTTTAGTGCCGTCCCTCATCGCCCATACTAAATTATGTGCTGAAAAGCTGTCAAATTGCAACTTATTAGGACTTGCTATTTAAGACACCACGAACGAAGCCCTGAGCTGAAATAACTATATTATTTTGAATTTGTTGTGTGTATATTCCTTCGTTTGCAGACGTCATACTATTGGCGAGTCATTTATGTCTTCCTAACTCTTGTTTTTTTGGTTTTCCTACCGCGGATTAAACTGAGACTGAAAGATGGCTTAATTAAACTTGCACTTGCCAAATATATTGTCATAAACAATGATGATTAATCAATGTTGACATATTTCCAACACTTTTTAAAAATATTAATTAAGTTTATATATCTGGGAATCCTTCCTAGTATTTGCCTCGTTTTTTCAGTCAATATGTTTGTTTAGGGGCTTTTTGTTTTAATTGTGACAGATTGTGTTTCCTCAAATGCACAGAATTCAAGGGAAAAACCAACACAAAATGTCATTTTCCTACCTTGAATTCCACTCCCTTCTTCGCACTCTCCCTTTAGAACCTTCAACTTCCTCCAAAGGAATGAAAAAACAAATAGAGGACAAGATCTTTGATAACTTTAACAATCAAGGATGAGAGTAGGAATTCCACATTCAGGGATATTGCCTATGTTGATGTGGTGGAAAATGACCTTGTGAAACATCCAGAAATGGCTTGGATTCGTGAACTGCGGTGAGTCCAGCTTCTGCATAGTATATAAAAGTAGTTTTAGGATAGCGTACGTCCTTGATCACTTTAGTGCATGACACTGTACATCATCCATTTTCTTTCCTGCACATGTATACCTTGTTTTTATTAAAGGGTTACTCCAGCCAACATGACCACATCAGTGATTTAAAGTGGTGATGGTGGTATGAGTATGTATGTGCAGTGTTTCTACTTGAACTTCATCAGAGCACGGATTGGCCCTTTTTGCACTTTTTGGTTACTCTGATTCGTTTTCCCAAATCTCTTTTTGTTAACGAAATCCCACCATATGGCTGAAATCCAGCTGTCTTGAATTTTAGACAAAGAGGTTCGGCGCAGAGAAATTTTCCCACCATGCACAAATCTTATATTTATAATAGATGCTGATTTTTTTTGCCCTGGGCCTCACGCTCCAACTCTTTTTAAAAATGTCAACTGCAAACTTCTCTGATTTCCTAGAAAGGCAGAAAGTGGAATGTTGCCGCATTCCCTTGGGAGGAAAGAGGATAATTTTCCATGAATTACTCTGGCATGTGTTATATGGCATGGGGGAGGATGAAAACCAGGATCATCTTTGTTTATCCTATTTAACTTGCACTATAAGGCAAATATTAGCTACTTAAACACTTCTTTTGTTGATTTCACACAAGGTATTCTCCAAAAAAAGACAGAGATATAAAAAGCTATCATAGACTAGTTAAAGCCATCAGGTGTAATAATTGTGTACACATGTTGGCAATTATTAACTGAAAAAATGTCACATATTTCTAATCATTTCCAAGTCCCCATCTGAGAAGTATTAACCTGGGACTTCCAAAACTCAATCCTACTTGCCAGCTGAACTTAAAATGCACCTTAGCAGCAGAGGTCAATGGAAACGTCACTAGAAATTGGCTGCTAATACAGTCATTGTGA